TGGTGGCCCGCCTCTGTTGGGGCGGAGTCTCTGCTGTGGCGGGTTGCATTGGCAACGGCAGGCTGCCTCGGCAATGGCGGGCTGCCTCGTAATGGCGGACGCCCCTCCCCCACAGAGCTGGACCGTCCTGGGTTCAGCTGTGCTTGCTGTGAAACTCTCAATCCAGAGTTTCTGGTTGCTGTTCTTTTGTGGGGGTGGGGCCAGCCGAGCCTGATCGCCTGGCTCCCTGCCTCAGAGCCTTTTTTAAGTTGGTGTTCCAGTCGCCTGTTGAAGAGGCGCCGGGGTCTGTTTGTTTTCCCCTGCGGCCACTCACTGTGCTGGCTTAAACAGCGGCACTGAGGTTTGTGGCGCTTTTTTTTTTTTATTTTTGCCCTGGAATCTACTGTCCTGGTTCTCTGCTCAGTCCCCTTTTTGAACTGGCGTATGGGCGACTTCCCATGGCTCCAATCGCCAGCCAAAAGGGCCCCTGGACCGGTGTATTTTGTACGGAGAACTGCGGCTCCGGGGTGCCGACAAAGCAGCCGCGCGGGGCAAAGCAGCGGCCCCGGCCGGCACAGCCGCGCTGGCCGAAACAGCCGTGCTGGCGACCGTGGAGCACCTCCGCCCGGGAATTTCCTAGTCTGTGGGCAATAAAAACGCGGCGTCCACTCACCCTCTGCGCTTTAACTGGGAGCTGCAATCCTGAGCTCTTCCTAAACGGCCATCTTGGATCGTCCTTCGGTTTTACTAGTTTCTGCTCCTGATAGTAAATAAAGGTGCCTATTCTCACCAATACTTAGCTATTTTCCGTACTTGAAAATATGCGATATTATTAAAATTACAGATATGTGCCAATCTGGCTGAATTTCCCCAATTGCTAGGTTAGTCCTAGGTTGAGCGTATTCTCATGTGATTATTCACTGACCTTTTACATTTTATCCTCTGGGAATTGCCTATTATTATTCTTTGCCCCATCTCTGTTGGGTGCTTTGCTTTTGTCATATTGACTTACATAAGTCTTAAAATTATGAATACTTAACTTTGTTACATATGTTTCCCACAGTTTGTCCCTGTTTCTTTAAGATTAATTATGGGGCTTAGCCATAGAGAAGTGTGCGGTGTTGATGAGGACAAATTTATCAGTCCTTTAGAGTTTTATCTTTCTGTATTAATATCTTATTTAAGAAAGCTTTTCCTATCCCAGAGTCTCAAATATATTCTGTCATATTTTTTAAACTAGTTTGTTTTTTTTTTTTTAAGAGATGGGGTCTCACCATGTTGCCCAGGCTGCAGTGCAGTGGCTATTCACAGGCATAATTATAATGCCCTACAGCCTCATACTCCTGTGCTTAAGTGATCCTTCTGCCTTACTCTACTGAGTAGCTGGGACTATAGGCATCTGTCACCATGCCCAGCCAAAATTTTAATTACATAGTTTTATATATATGTAAAATACACACACACACACACACACACACACACACACACACACTCTCTCTCTCTCTCTCTCTCTCTCTCTCTCTCTCTCTCTCTCTCTTGAGATGATGTCTTGCTTTGTCCTCCAGACTGGAGTGCAGTGGCTCAGTCTCAGCTCACTGCAACCTCCGCCTCCTGGGTTCAAGCAATTCTCCTGCCTCAGCCTCCTGAGTAATTGGGATTACGGGCACCCGCCATCATATCTGGCTAATTTTTTTTTTTTTTTAATTTTAGTGGAGATGGGGTTTCACAATGTTGGCCAGGGTGGTCTCAAAGTCCTGGCCTCAAGTGATCTGCCCAGCTCAGCCTCCCAAAGTGCTGGGATTATAGGCGTGAGCCACTGTGCCCGGCCAAATTACATAGTTATATTAATAATTTTCCTCTTAAAAACTGAATGTCAGAGATAAAGCTAAAGTTTCATTTGAGCACCAGCCCAAATCCTGGACTTTTTTTCTGCTCTTCTTCAGAGGTTCTCTGGTTATATGTGTATCTTGCCGGAATTTTTCCTATGTTATTAATACAAATATATGTAGCCACAGATATTATAGCATGTCACTCAGCCTTTGGCTTTGTTTGCATTAATAGTATTACATACATCTCACTCTGCAACTTGCCATTTTCACTCTGTAGTATGTCTTGGAAATGTATCTATGTTCTTATCTAAAAAATGAGCTCAGTGTTTCTCAGTCTTGGCATTTAGGTAGCATTTTTTTTTTCCATGCAGTACTGTCCTGCGAACTGTAGGACATTTAGTATCCTGTGCCTCCTAGTACCTTATGATAGTCAAAAAGTAAATCTTTCATAATTTATTGCTAGATGCCTCCTAGGAGGTAATACCACACCTCATGAGGCCCCCCTTTTAAAAACTGCAGAGTAGGCTGGGTGCAGTGGCTCACACCTGTAACCCCAGCACTTTGAGAGACTGAGGCAGGTGGATCACAAGGTTAAGAGTTCAAGACCAGCCTGGTCAACATAGTGAGACCCCATCACCACTAAAAATACAAAAAAATTAGCCAGATGTAGTGGTGGGTGCCTGTAATCTCAGCTATTTGGGAGGCTGAAGCAAGGAGAATCTCTTGAACCTGGGAGGTGGAGGTTGCAGTGAGCCAAGATGCACCATTCTACTGCACTCCTGCCTGGTTGACAGTGTGAGACTCTGTCTCAAAAAAACAAAAAACTGCAGAGTATTCTATATTTAGTGAGTTCATTTATAATAATGAATATTGTTTGTTTGTTTGTTCAGTGATATACCACAGTTCAGGTAGCTTCTTACACAGTTAGAGGCAATATTGCAGAGTAGTTCAGAGCATAGGCTGTGAGCCTAGGTTACCTGGGTTAAATCCTGGATCTGCTGCGTGCTATTGATGAGTCATTGGATGAGTCACTTATTGTCACCAGGCCTCAGTTTCTTCATCTGAAAATTGGAAGTGTCACAGGATCCTTAGGATGTCACTTTTCCAGCTGGAAACCTCTGTGGCCAGTGGCACCTTTGCCAGAGTTTTGCTCAGGCCTACTAGGCGGCCCATCCACTTGGCCTGGCAGGCTATAGTTAGCTCACACTACCAGCCTGGATCCCATGCCTGCTAAGGGTGAGGCAGGCATGAAGTGGCCAGAGGTGCTTGAGCGAACACACGCAGGATCCGGCCACTGTGCACAGCTAGGTGCGCCAGCTGCTGCGGCAGGCCAGACAGCTCCAGGTGCTGGGACGGGCCAGCTCTGCAAGCCTGCAGCTGGATCATATGTACCAGCAACTTCCACTGCGGGGACTCATGTCTAGACAAGGGGAATGTGGTGGTGCCCGGAAGCTCAGAGATGGCAGAAACTACAAAGCCCCAAAGAGAATATCACAGTCCTGGCTTGGGGAGCCTGTGGGTCTGGGCTCCCTGAAGGGCCACAGCTCATCTCTCCTTCTTGTCACCTGCAGCATGGCAAACGGCGGGTGTGGGTGTCTCAGCCCTGTTTGTGTTGCTAGCTCTTTCAGTCCTGTCATTTGGCGTTTCCAGGGTTCTTGTTCTGAAAGAATGAGGTACATGGACAACTGGAGGGTGAGCAAGGTGGAAAGCTTATATTGAGCAATGGAACAGTTCTCTAGTGACCTGAAGTGGGTAGTTTTTTCTGCAGGCAGGTCTTCCCAATGAGTGTCCAGCAGTCAGCACTCAGATGAGATCCAGAGTGGGTATCTTCTTTCCACAGGCAGGTCATCCCAGCAAGTCAAGGAGACCTGAATTGGGTAGCTCCTTCCTGCAGCTGGTAGTGCTACTTGAGTCTGGCTGAGTCCAGGGTTTTTATGGGCTTCGGAAGGGAGAGGTACATGCTGATTTGTCCATGGACAAGCCCAGAGAAGGCACCATAAATTCTCACTCCAGGCCGTGAACTCCACCTGTAACTGACACCAGCTCCCAGGCTTCAGGCCATTTCTGGCTTGAATGTCAGACTTCACTGGGGACCTGGCCCTTTCCACCCAGGAACCTGTCTGCCTACTGCCGTTATCAGCATGTCATCCACAACTCCCTGACTGTTTGTGCCAAGGGGGGGGCACCTGCAGACCCACGCTGAGCCACCTGTTTCCCCTTGGCCTTCCTTCTGTGCTTTTTGGCACCCAAAGACCAGAGGAGGCTGATGCAGCAGGGGGCTGGCATATTAGCGCTGCCCCAAGTGTGCACACACCTGGCTGGATCACAGCAGCACCCGGGCTTGGCCACAACTTTGCTCCAAAATCAGAGCACATGATGTAGCTATGCCCAGGAGTTCAGGGCTCTTGCCCTGCCAACTTGGAAGAGGGTAGGGCTCCGCCGTTCCCAACCCATGGGCTTTGTGGACCGCACTGCCCCAGCCACACCTCTACCGCTGCAGCCGATGTCTTCACAGCAGACAATGTCTTTGCAGCAGCCACTCTAGATGTAATAATAATACCTACCTCATAGGATTATTGTAAGGATTGAGTAAACATGTATTTGAAACAGTGCCTAGCTTCACAATCAGCATGTTGTAAATATTTCCCATTATTTAAATATTATTATTGTACACATTAGTAGATTCTGAGTTTTGCCCATTCCGTAAGAATAGATTCCAAGAATTGCTTAATCATTGAAGCGTAAGATTTTTAGTTTGAATAGCTACCAAAATAGAATAGAAACCTAAATGCCTACTGACAGGGAATGGATAAAACTATTAGGGCATGTATAGTAAGAGCTGTGCATCCATTTAAAAATGTTTATGAAGAAGTTTTAATGATGTAAGAAAATACAAGTGAATAGACCAGGATGCAAATCTTTGTAATGTGATCTTATTTATATGAAGAAGTATATTATAAATAGAAAGCAGACTAGAAGGAAATATACGGGGTTACTAGTGGATATCTCTAGGTTGTGGGAATATAACACTTGTTATTTTCATTTTTATACTGTTCTAGATTTTCTAACATTTTTTCAATAACCCTGTATTGCTTTTATATACAGGAAAATAAAAACCCAGCATATTGGTATAGTAAATTAAATAAAATTTAATATACATTCCATTTTATGATCTTTTTTTTTGCACTTAGCAATACTTGTAATTTTTAATAAACAAATAACTGGTAAAACCCACAAAGGTCAGAGGGAAGCTTTTAACTTAATATTGCTAAATATCATTTTTATTATTGTCTTATATTTCTGACCTGTAGTTACTTAAAATATACGAAAATATGAAGACAAGTGACCCAAAACATGTGCCCTCATTTCTGGTCGTTTCTTTTGGTAGCACCCTAGCAGTCAGTGACTACTCAAGAATTGCTTTGGGTCCTAAACGGGGTCCAACTGTTACTGAAAAGGAGGTGCTGACGTGCATCCTTTGCCAAGAAGAACAAGAGGTGAAAATAGAAAATAATGCTATGGTATTGTCGGCCTGTGTCCAGAAATCCACTGCCTTAACCCAGCACAGGGGAAAACCTATAGAACTGTCAGGGGGTATGTATTATATAATAAATATCCTTTTGAGCATTTCTTTTATGCCTGTGTAATTAAAGAAAATACTATTTGAAAGACATTTGGAAGTAAGGTTATGTATCTACCATACTGTTATCATATTTAAGAAAGTGAATATCATCTAATAAAATCAGCTTTTCTCCAACAGTTCTCAAAATGTCTTCAGTTGCTAGACTTTTTTTTTTTTTTTTTTCCACTCAGAATCTAAACACATTTCATGTGTTGCTTTGGTTATATTTCTTTTACTCTATTTTAATCTAGGTTAGTCCCTTCTTTTTTTATGATAGTAACTCTTTTGAGGAATTCAGGCCAATTGTTTTGTATAACATATCACATTGTGAATTTGTCTGATTGTTAAGTTGCCTCCTGATTAGAATCATGTTAAACATTTTCTTGGCAGGAATGCTAATTAGATGATGTATTGCACTTCCTTACATCAGGAATTAGCTGCTTTATCTTCATTATTATTTTATACCCTTGGAATAGGCCGCACATGGTGGCTCATGCCCACAATCCCAGCACTTTGGGAGGCTGGTATGGGTGGATCACTTGACCTCAGGAGTTCGAGACCAGCCTGGGCAACATGGTGAAACCTCATCTCTACAAACACATTAGCCAGGCATGGTTGCGTGAGCCTGTGGTCCAAACCTGGGTGACAGGGTGAGACCCTGTCTCAAAACAAACAAAAAAACCTTCTTGGAGTAATAATGATAATAAAGACTAGCATTTATTGAAACCTTAACGTTGCCAGACACTTATTAAGAGCTTTATGTGTATTTACTTACTTAATCCTCAAAACAGCCCTTTGAGTCAGGTATCACTATTGGTTTCATTTTATAGATGAAGGACCTGAGGCACAGAGAGATCGGGTAACTTACCCACAGCCATGAGCTATAAGTGATGAATCCAGAATTTGAAATCCCCAATCTGTGCTTTTTTTCATGAGTTTATAATTCCCCTAAGTATCCCTTAAAATTATTACTCATCAAATTACTCTTAAAATTAAGTAAGTAAATTATATTTGAAACATAGAAAATCACTTAAATAACCAAGATAATGCAGATTAAACCCAATATTCAAGGTTAAAAAGTAAATCAAAGGTAGAGTAATTAATCCATACTCATTTAGAATCATATATGATAGGCTAGCTTTTTGCTTTTCTCTTTGTTATTACTATTATGAATATGTATCCTGCTATCATGATATTGTGACACTTTGGTTGGACGTTCCTAAGACCGTTTGTGATTAGATTTTGGACCTGATAACCTATCTCTCTTTTTCCCTCCTTTTTATAACTTGTACCAGAAACCCTAGACCCACTTTTCATGGATCCAGACTTGGCATATGGAACTTACACAGGAAGCTGTGGTCATGTAATGCATGCAGTGTGCTGGCAGAAGTAAGTTGTCCTTCTGACATGTTCTTGAAAGAGACTAGGAACATTGAAGTTCACTCAAGGCCACAAAAAGGCATGTTTTCTCATGTCTTCTTTCCTTTTTCTTATTTGAATAATTGAAACGGTTTTAATTACTAATTCTATTTGCATGAATTATTATTATCAAAGTTGGAAGGTGGTGTGTAAAGTTACCAACTTCAGATTTTCACTGTTCCTTTGTGCTTGCTCTCCATAAACTAATCCATTGCTCTTCATCTGTATTCATGTAAAAAAAGTAATAATTGGCCATGTGTGGTGGCTCACGTCTGTAATCCCAACACTTTAGGAGGCTGAGGTGGGCAAAGCCCTGTCTCTACTAAAAATACAAAATTAGCCGAGTGTGGTGGCACATGCTTGTAATCCCAGCTACTTGGGAGGCTGAGGCAGGAGAACTGCTTCAACCCAGGAGGCAGAGGTTGCAGTGAGCTGAGATTGCACCAGTGCACTCCAGTTTGGGTGACAAGTGTGAAACTGTCTCAAAAAAATAAATAAATACAATAAATAAATAATAAAAAAGTAATCTTTATAAAAATCTAATTTCCCTCAAAACATACTGCTGTGATAAGTACCTTTGAAATAGAATAGGATGAATAGGAAAAGAAGTTCTCATTCTATATCTGGGAAATATAAAAATTCAATAATGTAATTCCTGAGAAATGTTTTGTTTAGAGTTTACCCATATGACATTAGATTACAATATATAATTTTTCCATGATAGCTCTCACTACTTCAGTTCATCATTAGAAACTGAGGAAAGTAGTGTCCACATTGTATCACCATGCTGTTTAGGCAAAAGATAAGTTATGATTCAGTAAACTTATTTTAAATTTATATCTGCTTTGATGTATTTTCCAATTTGTTCCCAAAATAATGGGCAACCTGTTTCTTCTGTACTTACAAGTTGTGTGTTTTTGCGGGTAACTTCTAAAGATGTTTATTGGGGCAAAAATTCCAGATTTTTAAAACTTGGATTAGAGCAAGTAGAGATGCACATGTAGAGATGCATGTGTAGTTCTGAATGGGCCTGTGTCTTTGTAATTTTGCAGGTATTTTGAAGCTGTACAGCTGAGCTCTCAGCAGCGCATTCATGTTGACCTTTTTGACTTGGAAAGTGGAGAATATCTTTGCCCTCTTTGCAAATCTCTGTGCAATACGGTGATCCCCATTATTCCTTTGCAACCTCAAAAGTTAAACAGGTATATTTTAATTTAAGTTTTGGTTAATTTTTTAAAAGTTGGCCAGGCTCAGTGGCCTGTGATCCCAGCACTTTGGGAGGCTGAGGTGGGCAGATTGCCAGAGCTCAGGGGTTTGAGACCAGCCTGGGCAACAGGCAACATGGTAAAACCCCATCTCTACAAAAGAATTTTTAAAAAATTTAGCCAGGTATGGTGGCATACACCTGTAGACCCAGTTACTTGAGGGGCTGAGGTGGGAGAGTCACTGGAGCTCAGGAGGCTAAAGCTCCAGTGAGCTGAGATTGAGCCACTGCACTCCAGTGTGGGTGACAGAGCGAGACCCTGTTTCAAAAATAAAAAGTTGTCTTTAGTTCTTTAATTTGTGCCTGTTTTTGTTAGATTACTATTTTTTATTCTTTAAAATAATTAATACTTTTTCATTTTATATCTTGTGTCATACTTTTAAAATGTGATCAAAAGCCTACTTTTTTGCCTCTAAGAGAACTAGAATGTTTATTTACTCAAATCCGTACATTGTGATTATATTTTCCAGCAGCTATTAAAGCAATAGAACTCTGACCTCTGTCGTAGCACTCAAAAAAGGAGAAAAGATGCAAAAAGATTCATTCCTTTCATATGGCCCTTTACCATCATTAGCGTTGGCAATTTATTCTTAATAACAGTCTGTCTCAAGTTCCTGCCCTTATGAAAAGTGCATTTTAGAGAGACTGGCAATAAAAGAGTAAGACAGTGTTGAGTATGGAGAAATACTATGAGAAAACTAAAGCAGTAGGTTAAAGGGCTAAAGACAGACCGGGGCATGAGGCTATTTATAGACAGATTTGTCAGGGAGCTCTTCTCTGAGATGGTGACATTTGAACAGGGACCTGAATAAAGTGAGGAATAATCACTACTTTTCTCTGGGAGAAGAAAATTCAAAGTACAGGCTATATCAAGAGCAAAGGCCTCAGGTTTGGAACCCATCATGTTTGAGGCACAGCAAGAAGGCCACACGCTTACTGGAATGGAACAAGCAAAGACCAGATCATAAAAGGGATTATGAGCAAAGATTAAAAGTTCTATGATCCCGTTTACATTTTTAGAAAATTCTTCTAGCTGCTATATAGTGAATTCATACTTATAATGAAACACAAGAGTAGAAGCAGGAAGAACAGTTAGGAGTCTAAGTAATACAAGTGAGGGCTGATGTGATAGAGTAGGGGGTAGTAATAGTAGAGGTAGGAAGAAACGATCAACTTGGGATATATTTAGAAGGTAAAGCCTGCAAGGTTAATTAATGGATTACAATGTTAGTTAATAGATTACAAGACAAAACCTAGTTTTTGACTGGAGCAACTAGGATGCTTATTCCCTTTACTGACATTTACTACCTGTGGGTGATTGACATGTGGTTGGTTTCTTATTTCTTGTATGTTTAAAGTTTCCTTCCCCTTCCAAAAAGCTACATATTTAGACACATGTTTCTGTGACCTAGAAAATTAATCTGGAAGAATTTAACTTTTTTATACAACCATTTATCCACAGGAAGAATACAAATTCAGCTTTTCCTTTTGACTTTGTACCCATGGTTTTAATAATTTTTATTATCATTTTTTCAGTGAGAATGCAGATGTTCTTGCCCAACTTTTGACCCTGGCACAATGGATTCAGACTGTTCTGGCCAGAATATCAGGTTATAATATAAGACATGCTAAAGGTTTGCTTAAATTTATTTTATGTTAGCTATGTGAAGATTGTGTCAGAATTTTTATTTTTAGTAATTATTGTGCTAAAATATGATTTGCAAGTACAGATTTCTTGAATATCAGGAAATAGAAGTTTTTGAAGCTAAGACTAAGTTTGACTTAAATTGCTTTGTTCAACTTAATCATTTTTCATAGTATGAGACAATACAGGTTTGTCTGATTATTCCAAGCTGTTAGACTGCTTAGATTTAAATCTTAGATCCAAGATTCATCTAAATCACTAAGATCCGCTTACTGATTATGTGATCTTGGGCAAGTTACTTAAGCTCTGTGTGCCTCAACTTCTTATTTGCAAATAGGGGATAATAATATTATAATAGTATCTATTTTATTGGTTGAAGAATTAGTAGAGTTATATGTAAAGTAGAACAGTCCATGGTACATAGTAAGTACTACATGTTAGCCATCACTATTACTAATATTGTCAATATTTTGTTGGTAATGTTCGTCATAACAAAAACTTTTTAAACTGTCATTTACATATTCTTTACAGTTGTGAGACAAATGTGGCTATTAATGGAGGTTTGCTTAAAAGGATAAAATGGGAATTTTTAAAATACAGTGAGGAAAAGTTGTCTTTTGTTTAGGCCAATGGCCCCCAACCTTTTTGGCACCACGGACTGATTTTGTGGAGACAGTTTTTCCATGGATGAAGGGGATGATTTGGGGATGATTCAAGTGTATTGCGTTTATTGTGCATTTTATTTCTGTTATTATTACGTTGTAATATATAATGAAATAATTATACAAGTCACCATAATGTAAAATCAGTGGGATCCCTGAGCTTGTTTTCCTGCAACCATATGATCTCATCTCGGGGTCATGGGAGACAGTGACAGATTGTCAGTCATTAGATTCTCATAAGGAGTGGGCGACCTAGATTCCTCACATGCATGGTTCACAATAGAGTTTGCATTCCTATTAGAATCTAATGCTGCTGCTGATCTGACAGGAGGCAGAAGTCATGTGATAATTTGAGTGATGGGAAGTGGCTGTAAATATTGATGGAGCTTTGCTCATCCACTGCTCACCTCCTGCTTTGCAGCGCATTCCCAAGGTTCCCAACAGGCCATAGACCAGGCTTGTCTGTGGCCCTGGGATTGAGGACCCCCGGTTTAGGCAGTGAATCAATAGGATGAAGGCAAAGTCCAGTATTTCAAAAATTAGCTTCTCATCCCCTCTTTGGATCTAAAATTGATGCACACTATACCTAGAAAATATTCCAGAATATTTCTATGTATTCTACTCAAAATATTTATGTCTTATTTCTATAATTCATACTTTTGTTTATCCACATTTTTTTCTGATTATTTCAGCCTCTGTTGTGCTTTATGTCCTTTTAGTTACATACTTTTAAGGAAAATGAAGGATATATACAAAAGCTACAGAGGAAAAATAGGGGTGATGGTTTTATTTCTCATCATCATAGTCAGCCTGAGTTACAAAGGTTTTTTTGTTTGTTTTGTGTATGTGTTTTTTTTTTCTTAAGACAGGTCTCACTCATCACCCAGGCTGGAGTGCAGTGGTACGATGACAGCTCACTGCAGCTTCAACTTCCTGGGCTCAAGTGATCCTCCCACCTCAGCCTCCCAAGTAGCTGGAACCACAAGCTTGCATCACCACACCTGGCTAATTTTTAAATTTTTTGTAGAGACAAGGTCTTGCTATGTGCCCAGACTGGTCTTAAACTCCTGGGCTCAAGCAGTCCTCCTTCCTCAGCCTCCCAAAGTGCCAGGATTATAGGCATGAGCCAATGGACCCGGTCTAAGTTATCAAGTATTTTTATTAAATGTTTAATCATGCATTCAGCACTATACAAATTTTTATGTTCCCTGCCTTGTTGACCTCACATGTGTGCATGCTATGCAGTTAAGAATGATACAAGAGGAAATAGCATTAACAGTCAGTTTTTACAGTACAGAACAATAGGACTCATAAGATTTTTAAGAAGGAATTGATCAGTAGGGGCTTAAGTAGTAAGGGAAGATGTCATGGAGAAAAGGAGATTCAGTTTGACCTTGTATCAAATTTGGGTGTATCGTAGGGATAAAGGAGAACCCAGGTAGAAAATAGACATGTTTTTAGGGAAATCTGAGCTTGGCATTTTCAGAGACCTTGAAAAAGCCTGACCTACGTTAGTCAAGGGTATATAGTAGGGAGTAGTAGAGAATATGGGGGCAGTTGTGGAGATTTGTAAGAATTTGGACTTGGTTGTTTAGAAACACAGAATGATGGAAGAAAACAAGTCAGCAATGAATGAGTTTGGCAATGTCCTGTCAGTTTTCCCTCCTTCTTCATTTTTTAACAAAAACTTTTCCACAAGTGGTGCTAATGAGATAACAATCTGTTACGTGAAAAACTCTTCTAACAAAAGACCTTGTATTTGCTAAGAAGTGATTTTTGGCATGTACTTATACTTCGCTACTTGTTTTAAGCACTGAGAAGCAATTCAGTACAAGAGATTCTTCTTTTTTTAAAATAGTGTTTAAAAATGTCTTTGACATATGTGAATTTAGTTTCTTTTTATTTAAAAAAATGTAGATTGACATCTTGATTTTACATCCTGATTTTTAGGTCTCAAATATTCAGCCTTAAGTCAGTTTTCTGTTGTTATTTTGGCCTATAAATATTTCATTGTAGGTCTCAAACATGACATTAAGTAGAAAGATCACTTTATTAGCAGTAGGACTTCTGTGACCATCTAAAGAGTGTAAGAGTGATTAGTATCTTTTAAGGATATTCGACAATTTACTTAGAAGCCTGCATTTTCAAGGGAAGATGATACTGAACATAATCTAAGGAAAAACTATTGAAATAAAGAACTATAAAAAAGAAATCATGGAATAATGAAAAATTTTTGAGCAAGTGACTAGCATTTATTCTGGTAGCTTTTTAGTGTGGGAGTGGTGCTGCAGATAGATTGGAAGAGTGAGGAGATGACTCAAGAAGATTAATCAGGAATCGTTTGCACTGGTCATACCCTGAGATGGTAAGAGGCGGTGGTATTAATAGTAAGCATTGACAAGTTTGCTGTGAATGCTTATCGAATGACTAGTTGTTTGGGGGAAAGAAACAGAGCCTAGAGATTGTAAAGGAAGAATTGCAGAAAATGTGTAAGCATTTTTTCTCTATTGCCTACAAATACGGGAAGGTTAGGAGAAAAACAGATAATAAATTCAGTTTCTCTTTATTTTCATCCTGTGTTGTTTTGAACAAAAACATAGTGTAGTGGGAGATTTTGCCAGATCTTTCTAAGACTATGGCTGGGCAAGTCATCCTAAAATAAATAAATAGATAAATAAAGACTTAGAGAATTTTTTAAATTTAACTTGATTTAGTAACATATTCTGTAGAAGTGTGTTCCTGTTGAGAATATATTTTCATCAAATACTCATGGATTTTTTTTAATTTTTGAGACAGCATCTTGCTGTGTTGCCCAGGTTAATCTTGAACTCCTGACCTCAAGTGATCCTCCCACTGTGGCCTCCCAAAGCGTTTGGATTATAGGTGTGAGCCACTGTGCCCGGCTGTCCATCGATTATTAATAACAGATTGGTTAATAAATTAGACCATGTAAAAATCTCAGTTTTCAAAAAGAGAAATTATGTAGGACACTTATACTATCCACAATACAATAAAATAAAACCTAACAAAAGAGAGCTCAAAAATCTAACAAATTAGGAATTTTAAAATACTATTCCATATAACTATTAAGTGCAAGGAAAAACTAGAGAGAGATGGAGAAATCATCAACTATTTAGCAATTAACAACAATGAGAACAACACAGATCAAAATCCATGGAATATGGCTAAAACCTTACTTAGAAGACAGCTCATAGCCCAAAAAGTTGAGATGGAGTCTCGCTCTGTCCCCCAAGCTGGAGTATAGTAGTGAGATTTCACTGCAGCCTCCGCCTCCCAGGTTCAAGTGATTCTCGTGCCTCAGCCTCCCATGTAGCTGAGATTACTGTAGTCTGCCACCACACTTGGCTCATTTTTGTATTTTTAGTAGAGACGGGGTCTCACCATGTTGGCCAGGCTGGTTTTGAATTCCTGACCTCAGGTGATCCACCTGCCTTGGCCTCCCAAAGTGCTGGCATGAGCCACTGTGCCTGGCTGGTCATTGTAACTTTTTAAAAAAGGCATTTCAAGCCAGTTGCAGTGGCTCACCCCTGCAATCACAGCACTTTGGGAGGCTGAGGCAGGCAGATCTTTTGGGGCCAGAAGTTCGAGACCAGCTCGGCCAACATGGTGAAACCCCATCTCTACTAAAAATACAAAAATTAGCCAGCCATGGTGGTTCACACCTATAATCCCAGCTACTCAGGATTATAGGCGTTGAGGCAGGAGAATCTGAGGCATGAACCTGGGAGATGGAGGTTGCTGTGAGCTGCGACTGCACCACTGCAGTCTAGCCTGGGCAAGCAAGACACTTTTTTTTTTTTTTTTAAAGACATTTCATAACATCCAATATCTGTTCCTCATATATTCCTGACAAACCTACTTTCACAGGATACAAAACACCAGAACATCTAAAGTCTCTGAAAAGTAGATATAGCAGGCAGATTGGGAAATAAAGTCAAAATTTAAGAATTATCAGTACAGGTAGTGAGTTTTCTTAGGCTTTTTCCTTCTTTATTTCCCAACTTTCACCCAAGAACAGCTGAATCTCAGAACTGTACAACAAGCATGAACAGCAAAAAATCCAAGAGAAATGCCATCTCTTTCTGGTCAGAGGATCAGGAAAAGAAGCCCCTCACAGACAGAGTATAAAAGGAGTGTGTTTATTTTTCCTCTGACCTTTTCCCAAGGCCAGCTTCAGGCATGGAGCTGCACTGCCGTGGTAGCCATGTAGATGCCCATAATCCCAAGAGAAACCCAGTCTCTCTGGTGAGGAACTGGGAAAGGGGGCTCCTGTGTTCTAAAGGGTACAAGGTTAATCTTCATCATTTTTTTCTGTCTTTGCCTCATGGCTTCACCCCAAGGGAATCTCCAGTCATAAATCTTGAATGATCTCATGGGAGACTAAAACTGAAAAAAATGTCATTCTGGCCAGAGGAACTAGGGAAAAGGGCCCTTTGGAGCCAGAAAGTGTGGGGGCCAGGGTGGGAATCTCAAAGAAGAGAGAACTATAGAAGGGGAATCTCATATTTTTGAGACCTGGGCTCACCTCCAAGCTGCACATGTGCAGAATAAGCCAAAAGAGGCATAGCCAAAGTTTTGAGAAGTAATCTGCATTTCAAATGGTTTCATCACTGAAGTCCCAGACTAACCCCCTGAGGAGTACATGTGCTGGGCAGATCAAAACACCACAGCAAAGTCTCTGAAAACTAACTTTGGAATCACCATCCACAGAGGATGAGACAGAACTTGTTAACCTGAGTTTATTGCCTTCTAAAACACTTTAAAACTGTATGTTTTTCCAGAGGTTTTTAACAGGACCAGAACCTCCCAATGTAATATTCCAAATATACAAGATATAATCCAGAATTACTTGACATACAAAGAACCAAAAAATCTGACCAGTTCTCAAGGGAAAAACAACCAAATGCCAGTCCTGAGGTGTTTTAAATGTTAAACTTATCAAAGAGTTTTAAAGCAGCTAGATAGCCTTGAAACATAAGGTGAAGATGAACACTCTTTAAAGAGTTGGAAGAAGTTAGCAGAAAAATAGGAACTAAAAAAACCAACTATATGGTGATAATAGAATTGAAAAAATACTGGATGAAATAAAAATTAACTGCATGTGCTTGACAGTAAACTGGAAGGCTGAGCACAGTGGCTCAGGCCTGTAATAACAGCACTGTGGGAGGCTGAGGCAGGAGGATCACTTGAGGCCAGGAATTCAAGACCAGCCTGGGCAACATAGTGAGACCCCATCTCTTAAAAAAAAAAAATTAGCTGGGTGTAGTGTTGTGTGCCTATACAGTAGTCCTAGGTACATGGGAGACTGAGTCAAGAGGATTGCTTGAGCCTAGGAGTTTGAGGTTACAGTGAGCTATAATCATGCCACTACACTCCAGGCTGGGCAACACAGCAAGGCTGTGTTGTTTCATCAATATATATACTAGACGGAGATGAGGTAAGGTATCCATGAATGTGAAATTAGATCAGTGGAAGTTATTCAGTCTGGAGAACAGACAGAAAAGAGATGGGGACTCAAAAATAGAACCTTAGGGATCTATGGGATAATCTTTTTTTCAATCCAACATTTGTGTCATAACATTTTTCCCAAAAGGAAGGGAAAATAATACAGAAAAAAAAAATTTGAAGAAATAATTGAAAATTTCCCAAATTTGGAGAAAGTCATAAATTTGCAGATTCAAGAAGTTCGGTAAATCTCAAACAGATAAGAAAACCACACTCAGACACATCATAAAGCAAACTTGCTGAAAACAAAAAATAAAGAGCCAGGCACAGTGGTGTGTGCCCCTAGTCCCAGCTACTTGGGAGGCTGAGATTGGGAGGATTGCTTGAACCTTGGAGGTTGAAGCTACAGATCATCATGTACTGCAGCATGGGTGACAGAGTGAGACTGTCAAAAAAAAAAATAAAAGTTAGAAAACTGTATGTCAGACTAAACTCATTCATGATTTTTCTTTCCTTTTCCCTTTAATTTGTCAGGAGAAAACCCAATTCCTGTTTTCTTTAATCAAGGAACGGGAGATTCTGCTTTTGAATTCCATTCCATCCTGAATTTTGGAGTTCAGTCTTTGTAAGTATCTAAATAGTTAAGAGAGAACTTTGTAAAAGATTGTGAAAATAAAAATAGGAAACAGTGTAGGCTTCCATCTTTCCTTCCTTTTATATTTATAAAATAGTTTATCCCATTATCTTGTTTCTTTCTCTTGTTTTTTTATTTGTATTAATAAAATGAAGTGGTTTGATATATTAAGTAATATATATTAAGATGAACTGTGCCTCTGAGTAACCATTTTTAACCAACAAAATGCTAACTCTCTGTGGTCCAACCTACAAGAGGACCGGAATTAAGAGACATCATTTAAAATTACATCTGACTTGCTTTGTGACTTTCTGAAAGGTCTCAGGTCACTCCACCCCCACCACCAGTTCATTTTTTGTGTATGTAAAATTGATGCAGTGGCCTTCTCTCCTACCTCATTAGGTTATTGGAGAGATATGATGTACCCAAATCAGGTATTATTATTTCATTAATACTGAGTATCCAGAGTAGTTTTTCTAGTTGTGATCCTTGTTTATCTATCCCATTGCTACTGAAAATACTCGTTACAAATGGAGATTCAGAAAACCAGATAGTATCACTCCAAATACATGGTATTATCACACATACATACAACACAAACATGTACACATACCTATTAATACAAAAGTACTTTGGTTCCTTTTCCAGGCACCAAAACTTGTTAGGTCAGATCTGTTCCTCTGGATTTTATTCCTTCTGTATTCATTCTGTTTTTTAATTAGTACCTGAATCCCTTTTAGCTGTGAGCATCTATTGCATCTTTTACAGGAAGTGAAGTTATGTGGGTCATTACCATTTTATAAGAGCTATTTCGCTACCTTTAGAAAATACGGTTCTGCTCTACGAATTTTTTTCCAACTGAAGAAATCTTTGTAGAAGTTAATCTCTAATTTGGCAAAGAGCAGTTTACTTCTGTTGAAAGCAGTTAAATTGTTTCTATTACTTCAGGACTTAATTGGACTTCTTACTAAGTAGCTCTTTCTACTAAATCATACAAATTTTTTTTGTTTTATTTATAGGGTTAAATATTCTAATAGCATCAAGGACATGGTTATTCTCTTTGCCACAACAATTTATAGAATTGGTTTGAAAGTGCCTCCTGATGAAACGGATCCTCGAGTTCCCATGCTGACCTGGAGCACCTGTGCTTTCACTACCCAGGCAATTGGTAAAGCTCCTAAGAAGACTGGTTTGGACATTTCAGTGAGGTAGAATTAATACTGATCGTTCAAGACAGAATTAACACCGATCGTTCATTCTTAAATTCTTTTTTTCCCGGATGGACCAGAATAATTTGACTTGTATGAGGACTATTAGTATTTTAGTGTATTAGTGTGGCTCATGCCATTGGGTCTGATAATTTTTTTTATATCGATTTCTTTTTAACTGTGATCATGGCCATATGCAACATAAGTTAAAATAATATTTTAAAGGAGTTAGGTGCAGTGGCTCACTCCTGGGAGGTTGACGTTTGGGAGACGCTAAGGTGGGAGGATAACTTGAGGTCAGGATTTTGAGACTAGCTTGGGCAACATAACAAGACTGTCTCTCGAAAAAAGTTAGTCAGGCATGGTGGTATGTACCTGTAATCCTAGCTACTCAGGAAGCTGAAATGGGAGGATCATTTGAGCCCAGGAGTTGAGGTTGCACCACTGCCCTCTAGCCTGGGCAATAGAGTGAGACCCTGTTTCTAAAAGTGTGTGTGTGCCACCTAAAAATTAACAGGGGAAAGGAAAACTGAGGCAGTTTAAGATTAGCAGGTAGAAACCAACTCTAAAGGGAAGCCTACTGTCAAATTGTCTGCCATATTGAAAATGTCCCATAGAAAAATGTAGCAGCGAGGGATCACTTAGATTTTTTAAATTAGTGCTTTTGTTCATTATAGGGACAAGGTCCAATATTACATGGAAAAAATTAAGAATGGTGATTCTTCCCTATCTTTATCCAAGCCAACTTTGATTTCCCTTTCATATATATATATGTATATGGTAATTGTTTTTAATGGAGTCTATTATATTTTCTTCATTCAAATATATTTTTGTAACAAGACACTTGTATTTCATAATTTGAATTAAGTAGCATGAAGTCACATTTTTCCCAAAGCCTTCCTACATACTATCGTTAATTTCTCAATAGAGTTTAAGAGTTACTTCCAGTGCCTTGGTGAGGGCAGATTCTGGGCCACGGGCACCTGCCCTGAGTGGACCATGCACTGGTGCCCTCAGAGGGCTCCTATGGGTAGGTTCATTGGCCTGAGCCCAGTGAGCCTCCATGTACATTGACCTTAGGCCCATAGAGAGGGCCCATCCTGTCTCTGCCCCAGCCAGGATCTGGTCACTGCCCCAAGGGGACTGATGGGCAGAGTCGCCCCTGTGCCTGGGCCGTGACCATCCCTGATGGGGCCAGAGTTTGGGTAGGCGTCTTGGGCTGAGCCCGGCACCATGCAGGGGCTGTTGGAGCTGAGGAAACGCCGCTCCCTGAGCCGGGGTCGCTGCACCACCCTGTGCCCTCCAAGGACTCCCACAGGGACAGGGGGCTGGCGGCTTCCTGCTTCTCCCTGTCATAGTCAAAGCACAAATCCTCAGGGCGGGCTCAGGGGCAGGGGCAGCCCGGGGAAGCTCTGGGTGGGGGCTGTGTCTTCCTGGGGTTGGTGCCCTCTGGGCAGGACGCTTTGCTGGCCCAAGGTCCCCAGGTGCTGCAGTGGGGTGGCCTCCTCTCTGTCTGCCTGGTGGAGGGAGCTGTGGGGGTGGGGACAAGACTGAATAAAGCTACCATGGGTGGATGTGCTTGGGGGGGAAAAAAGTCACTTTCAAACCTGGTAGACTTAAATCATGGGTATAGTGTAATACAACACTTTATATTTGCTGTGATTCAATCAAATGGGAAATAGGAAAGATGAGGTTTATATAGGACAGAATCTGAACAAATTGATAACAAATATAAAGCATTTTTTCAGAATCATGACCTGCTAAGTCTCTTCAGACTTTCAGTGAAGCTATTTCACACTTTACTATTTTGGGGAAGGTAAACATTAGGAGATGAAGAATTTATATTTAGACCTTGATCGTTAAAGAGAGGGCAGAGTCTTCTATAAAAAGATAAGAAATTTACTGCTGAATCTTTTCATATGTGGTTCTATAATAATTGGATTCTGTTTGATTAATAACATATTGTGTTCACTATTGGGGGTTTTCCATCAAGCAGGCATAATGCTGTACTTTACTGTTAGTGCCTAAGCAGCTAACTTATCTCAATCCCTGTGGGGATGGAGAGACATGTACAGAATGTACTGGTATAGGATAATAGTTGAGGAATCAAAACAAAGCATCCTTTGAATTGCTGTTTATGCAAAGATGAAAAAAATGCTTCCACACTCATATTGGCTGCTAAGGATCAGTGAAAATAAGAGTAATTTAGCAATAAATACCATGGACAACAAACCACAAATCTTGGTTTTGGTATTTTCTTTTTTTTTTTCTCTCTTTTTTTTTTTTTTGAGACAGGGTCTCACTTTGTTGTCCAGGCTGGAGTGCAGTGATGCAGTCATGGCTCACTGAAGCCTTAGCATCCTCAGACTCAAGTGATCCTCCCACCTCAGCCCCCTGAGCAAATGACACCACAGGCATGCACCACCACGCCCAGCTAATTTTTGTATTTTTTGTGGAGACAGAGTTTCACCATGTTGCCCAGTGTGGTCTTGAACTTCCAAGCTCAAGCAGTCCTCTTGCCTCGGCCCCCCAAAATATGGGGATTACAGGCATGAGCCACCACACCCAGCCTCATTTTCTTTTTCCCTATTCATCTTTTCTAAATCTTTTAAAACTGTACCCAAGGCCGGGCCAGGTGCAGTGGCTCATACCTGTAATCCTAGCACTTTGGGATGCCGAGGTGGGCAAGTCAGCTGAGGTCAGGAGTTCGAGACCAGCCTGGCTAATGTGGTGAAACCCCCATTTCTACTAAAACTACAAAAACTTAGCTGGGCATGGTGGCACGCACCTGTAAAATCACAGCTTCTCAGGAGGCTGAGACAGAATCACTTGAACCTGGGAGGTGGAGGTTGCAGTGAGCCAAGATCATGCCATTGTACTCCAGCCTGGGCAACAAGAGCAAAAAAAAAGCACCCAAAGGAACAATAAAGTCATTTGCATCTGCCTTACGTATTATTTTTAAATAAAATAGGCTATAATTACATATATAAATTACTTACTTTAGAATTTTTTGCATTAAGAAAGATGCTGAAATGAGAAGAAACAATCCAGGCTGCTTTGTTTTTCCCAAGCATTCTTTATAAGACTGCTTCAGGGACTTTATTTTTTATGCCAGTAATTTGTAAATGATCTACATTTACTTTTAATATTCTCTCACTCAAAAATTGGAAAATTTTGGCATAGACTTAAAACACAAGACTTGGGAGGGGAAAAATGCAAATCATCTCATAAAAAATACAATTAAAGAACATTTGATAAAAAGTACGGCAGATAATTACAGCACTATTTAGGACTTATTATTTTTATGTTTTTTTATTATTTGAGAAAACCTATTGGGAGATGAAGGAAAACCTCTGTTTGGAGCACTTCAAAATAGGCAGGTATGTATATTCCAACAAGGTAAGGTACATGTAACTTACAGCATGCCTTTTTCTGTCCCCCGCCCCCCAAAGTTTACTATTAAAAAAAAAAAAAGTCTTTACTCCTTTTCTGGAAAAATTAGCAGATTTCTGTAGTGGGAAAAAAGGAGCTGCATCAGTCTCATAGAAAACTGAATAATAGCGTGTGCACTTTATAGAGCTTACTCAATCTCGGAGGTTAAGTGTAATTCACACAGAGATTTTAGGTGATGATTACTTTTTCTCCCTTTTTTGTTTGTTACACTTCAAAATCCTGGTGTTTCCTGTATTTTTCCTTCTCACTAATTTTGCACCATTATATAACATTGAGTATTAATGCTGGCTTAGCTCTGAATGAATCATCATACTGAATTCAAGAATAAAATTAAGCCATGACTCCTTGATGGGCAGATACTGACACTACTGTAGGACTCTACTCCTGCCCCAAGCCTAAACCTCATAACGTAGTGTTCCCTGGAAAACAGTACTCAAGAAGTGTGCTCAGCAGCCCTATGAACACAAAAGGGGTAACAGAGGTTGCCATCCCTTCCTTGCCATTTCCCTGTTGTGTTTCTGACAGCTGGCACAGAAGACTATAAAACTTGTGGTCCACAGTGTGCTCAGCTCTGGGGAAAATAAATACTCTTTACAGGAGAATTAAAATAATGATAGCTTTAATACCTCTTTTTCATGAGAAAATCTGTTAGAAATGTAGCAAGGTCATAAAACCTTGTGCAGGTATTAAGAATATTGTAATTTATTTGCAATGATACAAGGTATATAATGAATCTGCAACTAATTCTAACAAACTAGAGTTGGTTTTTAGCAACTCTTAAGTGAATGACTTATGTATGTCTTCTTTTCCTCATCTTTTTATCTTCCCTCTCTTACAATCTAGCATAATGGTCTGAAAGCATTAATGCAGTTTGCAGTTGCACAGCGGATTACCTGTCCTCAGGTCCTGATACAAAAACATCTGGTTCGTCTTCTATCAGGTAGAGTCTTCTCTGAACTATTACTATGTATTATGTATATGTCTTTATTGTATTTCTGGTAGTGTATTTCATTAGGAAACAACACACACTGCACTAATTTTGAGCACTCACTAATGAAATTTTACCACCTACAGAAGCCGTGCAAGAAAACAGATAAACAAATAACTTCCTCTGTAAATCTTGTGATCTTACTATTATTTTTGAGAGGGAGTTTTGCTCTTGTTTCCAAGGCTAGAAAGCAATGGCGTGATCTTGGCTCACTGCAGCCTCCACCTCCCGGGTTCAAGTGATTCTCCTGCCTCAGCCCTGAGTAGCTGGGATTACAGGCACCCACAACAATGCCTAGCCAATTATTTATTTATTTATTTATTTTTTGTAGAGATGGGGTTTCACTATGTTGGCCATGCTGGTCTTGAACTCGTGACCTCCGGTGATTCGCCTGGCTCGGCATCCCAAAGTGCTAGGATTACAGGCGTGAGCCACTGTTCCCAGCCTTTGTGATCTTATTTTTAAAATCTGTATTTTCCAAATATTTTCAACTTACATTTCTTCTACCTACCTAGGTTATTGAACCAATATCTACAACCTTGACATCCATGTATCCCCAATCCAGTTAGAAAAGGGAGCAATGATGTGAATAGATCATTTAAAAATATGTTTAATTTTGTTTGTGAGTCAAGTTCATATGAAATAATGGAAATGTTACATTCAGTAATCTCAGAAGTCAGTTTCATCCCCATTTCTTTGAGAGGCTGGCTATAACAGCTAATCTTCTCAGATTCTAACAAGTTAGAAATTTACTAAGCGGTCATATGGTGGTCTCAATTAGTATAAAAATAGAAAGAAGGATATGTCATTACACAGCATTAGAATGACTTTGCTTTCCTTTTGGCTATCTGCATTTCCATCTGGGCATTTGAAGTCTACTATAAGCTCCTTTGCACCCAAACAGACGAGCCTTAAAGAGAGTTGTTAGTAAATCTGTTCCTAAGTCCCAAAATGCCGTGAGTACGGTAGTTTCAGCTTGCACTTCCAAGATATATTTCTACCAAATAAGAGTTATTCAGATTTTTAAAGCCAGGCTTAATTTTCTTGGAGCTAAACTAACAGACATTTTTTTTTCCAGCAAAATAGACTTACTTCTTTACCCTGAAAATCTATTGAAGCCAATAGCGTTTTTCTTTGTTAATCCCCACAGGCTTCTTAGGGAGCTCTTCCTGAGCAGCTTTCTGCTCATCCTGTTGATGTGGAGATGCCACAGCTCCACCCAAGGCTGCCACTCGAGTTTCATTAGAACTTCTGCCATCCTTAGCTTTTGTATTTTCAAATTAACTTTGAGATGTCTCCTGAATTGTGTTCATGCTAATAGAAATCTAATGTTGATGCTGTTCCCCTAGTCACACACTTAAAAGTTTTGCCTTCTTTCACTTACTTTTTTCTCTTGTTGGTCATTTGGAAAGGCCCAGAACCTTCCATGTGTCACATGTGTTTGTCTTTGTTTTTAAGACCTCTTTCTGTTGAACAGTTTATCCTATTTGCATATCACTATTTTGTTTTTATTTTTTGGTATCTTTTTCATTTCAGTCATAATTTAGATATTTACTAATTCTTCCAAATAGTTTCACTGCTTTTGTACTTATTACACATTATGGGATTTACAGTGTTTAAAACAGCTTGTTGCTCAGCATGGTGGTACACACCTATAAGCCTAACTACTCAGGAGCCTGAGGTGGGGGGGATCCCTTAAGCCCAAGAGTTTGACACCAGCATAGGCAGTATAGCAAGACCTTGTCTCAAAGAAAACACCAAACAAGGAGACTTATATCATCACAGATGGCAGAGACTAAAATGGTGGTGTATAATCTCTAATTAGCAATACTGGAAGAATTTATGTAATATAGCTTTATACCTGTATGTGAAAGTTTTTCATACGAAAATTTATTAGAGGAACATTTTTATTTGTAAGATATTAGGGCTTTCAGATATGTTCCTTGCCATTTTAATGCTTATAATTGAATTAAAGAAGCAGAACCTCTGTAAAAACAAACATTATAGTGGTGGAGGTGAGGAAAAAGAAAAAAAAATTATAAAAAGCCAAATGCCAGATATGTGCTTCACAAATACACACTTCAAAAATTGAGACAAGGAAGAAATCACTTTGGGGCTCTGCCGTTATCTCCTCTAACAGGGTAGGATTTGAATTGAGCCTTGAAGGGAGTATACATAGTAGATAAATTGAGAGGAACAGAGGCTGCATTCCAAAAGGCACAGGGCACATTTGAACAAAGATTGTGGAGGTAGGAAAGTGTGTGATATGTTCAAGAAGACAGGTTTGATGGGAGTAGTGGCATCTATAGATAGAGAAGCATGAGGTTTTTTTTTTTTTGAGACGGAGTTTCGCTCTTGTTACCCAGGCTGGAGTGCAATGGCGCGATCTCGGCTCACCGCAACCTCCGCCTCCTGGGTTCAGGCAATTCTCCTGCCTCAGCCTCCTGAGTAGCTGGGATTACAGGCACAAGCCACCATGCCCAGCTAATTTTTTGTATTTTTAGTAGAGACAGGGTTTCACCATGTTGACCAGGATGGTCTCGATCTCTTGACCTCGTGATCCACCCGCCTCTGCCTCCCAAAGTGCTGGGATTACAGGCTTGAGCCACCGCGCCCGGCCAAGCATGAGGTTTTTAAAATAAAATTACAGTGTCTTAAATGCTGCAGCCATAAGTTTGGACTTTATTCTTTAGGTAATTGGAATTTTTTTTTGAAAAGTTTTGTACAGTGGTATTCTGAGGTCAGTTTGATATTGAATAGGTTAGATCGAAGGAGGGAAAAATTAGAGGTAATATATGCATCTGGATATGGTGGCAGGAATTAGGGAAGACATTGGGATGGACTTGGTCAGGGGCAAGATTTTGAACTAAAAAGAATAGTAGAAAATTTGAGAGAAATAAGAAAGTCCAGAATAGGAGCTATTTTCTATGTAAGTTATGAGTATTGTTTTAATATGTTGATTTCTGCTAGCAGTAGACAGGCTGGGTGCAGTAGCTCACACCTGTAATCCCAGAACTTGAAGAGGCCAAGGTGTGCAGATAATTTGAGCTCAGGAGTTTGAGACCAGCTAAGCAGCATAGTGAAACCCTGTCTCTACAAAAAACTTAGCCAGGTGTGGTATTACGTACCCGTAGTCTGGCTACTCAAGAGGCTGAGTCAGGAGTATCACTTGTACCCAGAAAGCTGAGGTTGCAGTAAGCCATGATCATGCTACTATACTTCAGCCTGGGCAACAGAGAGACCTTGTCTCTAAATAGATGGATGGATGGGTGGGTGGGTGGATGGATGGGTGGGTGGGTGGGTGGATGGATGGATGGATGGGACAGGACATAGAATCCTCACTGCCATGTGCTATGCATTGTACTAGAATTTTTTAATAAAATCTAATTTCTTCTAGTCACCATCCTTCAAGGAGATTATCATTCTCTCCATTTACAATGAGAAAACTGAGGCACAGGAAAATTATATGACTTGCCCATGATAATAAAACCAATAAGAAGTAGAACTAATATTTAAACCCTGGCCTGACCACAAAGTCCCTGCTTTTCCCACTATATCATGTAAACTTTACTGAGGTTTAATTGTGCATAAAGGGTTGGTTTAACCGATAGATAAAATGAAAATATGCATGCCAAAATTTACTTTTGATTTCAAAAGAATTTAAAAATAAATATTTTTAGCAACCAGGAAAATAAAAATCATTATAAAACTACCTGTAAGAAGAATATGATGACACAAAGAGCCTGGCCAATATGGTGAAACCCCATCTCTACTAAAAATACAAAACAAATTAGCTGGGCATGGTGGTGGGTGCCTATAATCCCAGCTACTTGGGAGGCTGAGGCAGGAGGATTGCCTGAACCCAGGAGGCAGAGGTTGCAGTGAGCTGAGATCGCACCACTGCACTCCAACCTGGGAGACGGAGGGAGACTCCATCTCAAGATAAATTTTTAAAAATACATAAATAATACATTAATATATTTTTAAGTTATTTTTTATTATTTATTATTTTTATTTTTTTAGTAGAAACAGGATTTCACCATATTGGCCAGGCTGGTTTCGAACTTCTGACCTTGTGATCCGGCTGCCTTGGCCCCCTAAAGTGCTTGGATTACAGGTATGAGCCTCAGCACCTGGCCTAATTTCTGTATTTTTAGTAGAGACTGGGTTTCACCATCTTGGTCAGGCTGGTCTTGAACTCCTGCCCGCAGGTGATCCACCCGCCCCAGCTTCCCAAAGTGCTGGAATCACAGGTGTGAGCCACCGTGCTCGGCCAATAATACATTAATATGTTAATGAACCTACCAGCAGCCTTGTATATACTGCTGTAAACTTACAGAAGTTAAGTCACCTGTCACTTGCCTATGACCAATAGTCACAGCCAGTACTGGAATCCGTTTTAGTCTGACTTCAAAGCCCCTGATCTTAACCTTTATGCTTTTTGCTTAGAACCTTGGATTTGAAGTTAAGAAATCAACCTGGTCTCGGGCTGGGCGGTGGCTCACGCCTGTAATCCCAGTACTTTGGGAGGCCGAGGTGGGTGGATCACGAGGTCAAGAGATCGAGACCATCGTGGTCAACATGGTGAAACCCCGTCTCTACTAAAACTACAAAATATTAGCTGGGCATGGTGGCGCGTGCCTGTAATCCCAGCTACTCAGGAGGCTGAGGCAGGAGAATTGCCTGAACCCAGGAGGCGGAGGTTGCGGTGAGCTGAGATCGCGCCATTGCAGTCCAGCCTGG